TTAATAAGTTTTGATGCTTCTATGAATTTTATAAAATGTACTATTTTTAGTACAAAATAGTAAATCCAATCCATTAACATTAACGTTAAATTAACAAAGTATACGTCGATTAGTGATTACAGTATGATCGGTATATAAATTACATTACATTACCGATCAGTGATTAATTTTTTTTTAAACTTTAATATTATGTAAAATTTAATAAAAGACGTAATAAACTCTAATCATGTGAATATTATTAATAAGGTAAAATTAGAGTTATTACGTCTTTTATAAAAATTTATATAATATTACAGCTGTTGTGATCAATGTAATATTAATTATACAACTAAAGCCGTTTTGTACTAATCAATTTGTAAATTACTTCGAGTTGACATAAAGTCAATGGATCGAAAGGATAGATTAGTGGAGCAACCAAAATTCAGCAGATCGACCAAAATTTAGGGTCGGAATAGGCCCAGAGCTAGGTCACATTAAGCAGTAATAAAAGACAACTATGTATAATACGGCAAAATTTTCATCTGGGCAGCTTTACTTAGTACGTAAGATATTTTATTAGTAGAATTTTGGTGATTTTGGGAGAAATTGATCAATTCCGGCCTATTTCGACCCTAAATTTTGGTCGATCTGCTGAATTTGCCATCCCCCTATTCGGATAAGGCCAACTTGATTATTTTCCATTTTATTTTTAACCGCCCAATTTATAAGAAACTTCAAACTCTAGAGAATTTGCGAAATGACCCATCCGGATCGAAAAGTGCTAAGCGGGGGCATCGGGATTTACTTATTTGTGCCGGTAATACAACACAAAAAAGAAAATTTGATTTTGTAAATAAGCAAAGTGCGTAAAAACACAAAATTAGGGTTAGAACGTTAAGATTAGAAGCTACATCTATAGACTATCGGCCATTATATATAAAATTTCGTTACCTCATTTTTAATTAGTATATCAAGGCCGATTTAAACACTAGATTTTGAGTATTTCTGCTTTTTTCTTCTTTCGCACATGTTCGGAATTCATGTTGGGTTGATCCGGAGTGATCAAATTTAAACTCACTAATTGGCTATTTTCTTTTTAGGTGTTTGTATTGCCGGCACAAATAAGTAAAGCTGGGGCATCGTGCCCATGAAAATGACAAGGCGCAGTAAGCGAATGTGGTATTTACAGCTGTTTTCATAATTTCTGGGACACCTATAAAAAAAATTAGCCGAATGATTTTTGTCCGATCCGGTTAATTTATTATTTCGGCATAATAGATTCGATAAAAATTGGTACATACAAACGCACGTTAGGGAAGTTACAATTAGGATTGTACATTAAATCAAATAATGCAAAAATGCTGCCGAATTTTGTAAATCTGGAGTTTCATGTATGTCGTGTGAAAATTACATGAAATGCAATTTTCTGAAACTTACGTAACATTACGTATAATGTACATTATATGTAATGTAAAATTGTAATTTATGTAATATGAATCTATTATGCTGAAATAATAAATTAACCTAATCGGCCAAAAACCATTCTGCTAATTTTTTTTTACAGGTGTCCCAGGAATTATGAAAACAGCTATCATATGGGTGAAGATCTCTAATTTCGTGATGATTTAGTGTGAGTGATTAGGTTAAATATAATTTGAGCCAATCATTTATGTGATATGGCGTGATTATTGAGAATAAAAGTGATTTTTTGATCAAAGGTTGTAAGCCCGATAATGAATTGCTTATGAATCGCTTATAAATTTACTCATAAATTTGTACCTGATTGTAACCTGATGCTTATAAACTTTTGTACGTATGTACCTAATTATGACCTAATTACTTATAAATTTTGTACCTGATTAAAATTTTTCACGTATGTGCATGATTGTAACCTGATTATTTACAAATTTTTGGTACGTAAGTACGTACCTGATTGTAACGCAATTACTCATATCAGCAAATAAAAAATCTGGGACAGGTTTGTGACGCAGATTTCCTTAACTACGAATCAGATTTCGAAAATCAGATGTAACGTAACACAATCAGAAAATTCAAATAAACGTTCGTTTTGCCGAAAAACGTTCATTTCTCAAAAATTCGCATAAGAAACCATCTTTAGTGTTTTAACAAAAAGTTTTCGCTGAGCGATTTTACAATGTATACCACCCCCCTCTAACTCCTGACCCTGAACCTAACCTAATATTAACGTTCTTTATGAAATTTTGCTGCGCCACAAACCGGTCACAGAATTTTTATTTGCGATAATCACATCATATGAAATCACACAATTACGTCTTCGATTTTGATTGGCCAACGGCGACGATCAACAATTTAGGCCAAAATTACTCAAAATTTTACTAATGAAATCGTGGCTGCCCATTAAGTGAAAAATGTTTCTGGGCTAATTTTTTTCATTTTAAGAATGAAAAAGTTAAAAAGTTAATTCCGGCCAAAATTATGTAATGCGGGCCCAATCCGCGAAAAATTTGTATGGCAGCTATAGTGTTCCTCAAACTAGAACCGAAACCCGGAACCGAACCGGAACCGAACCGAACCGACGATTCGAATCGGATCTATAGTTTTTTTTAGAACCGACACTTCGGGTCTTGAAATGGACCCAAACCGATACTACCCGATCAGAACTGGTAGGTACCAATGTGGAAGGATCTATGTAATAATGTTGAAGTCAGAATAATTGTAAATTTAGAGTCTATTGTATAATCGATGATGTAAGTGCACGTGAAAATAAATAAATAGAAAGCTCAATACTAGACATTGAATCTCACCTTCTAACCTTTGAGTAAAGTGATCATAGTAATTTGAGTAAAGTGGCCATAGTAACGTTGTTGTGCCTGTGTGGTGGAAGAAGGAAGGCGTTGTTAAAGGAGACTTGTGCAAAGGAAGGAAGGATTAAATGAATATGCAAAACTTGTAAAGCCCTGAGTACATAGAACACTTACCCTTCAACGATAATCTCAAACCATTTTTTTTTTTATACTGTTACCTTGAATTTTATATTATACTAAAAAAAAAAAGATTGGATATCGCTTCTAAGGGTGAAAAGCATTACCAGAGACTTTTTGCATAAAACAGTGCTGAAACATTTTGCAAGAATTTTTTTTTTTTTTTTTTTTCAATTTTATAATTATCTTGAGGTGGAGGACTTTTTAGAAAAAAAAAAATATTGGTAGAACCTCTTTATTACAATAATGTCAAGCCCATTTGAAATTTCTTATAATGAAACCCAAGTGCCGATGGATGGATTGTCTTGTGATGAGGTCCAAGAACTAGTAGATGAGTTATCATGTGATGAAACTCAAGAGCCGGCCTGCTCAGATGAATTTGATAATGGTGAATCATCATCTGTAGAAGATAAATGCACAAGGTAATATATGATTTAATAATTATAATATAATATTACATTATATATTAATATATTTATTTACAGATCATTTGTATGGAACTATTTTACGAAAAAAAAAAGTAAAGATGGAGTGATCGCAATATGTACATTTTGTAATAAAAAATTAAAAATCTCAGAGGATAAATCGACATCAAGTTTTAGAAAACACCTGACTGCAAACACAGAAGTAAAGTACCAGAGTTAAAATCAAAGTCAAATAAAATACAGAGTATTTACGTTTTAGACATGTTAAATAATAATTCTGTAAGTTTTTTTTTTTAATTATATTGTATATTTTTTGATACCACTTTCTTATGCACTTTTTTTGTATATATAATTACTAGAACATAAATCATAATCGAGAACTTTTTGATCCTAAAATATTTACTGATCTTATTAAAAAATAGATTATTAAACATAATCGACTGTTTTATATAATTGAAGATGAAGGTCTTAGATCAATATTTACATATTTAGACCCCCGTGCAAAAGGTATAATATTTAATTGTATTTTTTTTTTAATACCAATTTATATTTTTAATTGTATTTTATTGAATATAATTTTACTAAAAAAAAAATTGAAATTTCTTTTGTAGCACCATCATCAGACTTAATAACAAGACATATTGCA